ATATTTATCCACCCCCCGAACGAAAATATGAAAATCCGTATCTGTTGGGATGTTTGATAGAGGTCTGACGTGAGGACCATGCATCCACATTCAAGTTGCCAGGCAAAATGTCAAGTTGACATTTTTATCTAAACCCACCCAGCCTTGAAAATGTCAAGTGTGGCATAGGTTATGGCAATATTTTTTCGAAAATCATTTTGCCATGGTAAAATTTGTGAAAATGTCACAAAATAATAACCCACCCACCCAAAATATCAATTTGACATTTTGTGTGGCAACTTGAATATGGATTTGACCCCTCTAAAATGCTCGCCCCTTTTATATATACATGGGAGATTGCATTACATGGATTGTCAAAATCTTACATCAGTCTATATCTATTTCTGGTTTTCAGACAGCATTAACAAATACAGTACTAGATGACCCACTTGGCAAGACAGTAGAGTTGCGTATACATGAGGTTTTGGAGTACTTATTGACGGACACAGTATGGTAGGTTGTCTGTTTTTTATCATAGAACCCTAGCTTCCACCCATCCATCACTCTCCTCTTGACAAGCAAAATTGTCTGTTGTTAGACAGCAAAATAATAATGTAAGGGTGCATTAGAGCACAATGCAATTTAATGGGTTAATATATCCATCAAAATGCTGCATTTGAGGATATATTTAACATGCATGGTCATAATGTCTGTTTTATAGCTTTCTATCTGAAGAACCGGAAGAATTATTAGCCTTGCAGAAGAAAGAATGGGGACCTTTATGGGAATGGTTCAATAATAGGTAAAATTTAACAATTAACTTGAATATTAAAATTTTCAAAATCATCTTCAAATACTCTCAATATTCACTTTTTTTACAGATACAGAGTTTCATTAATTCCTACCAATTCACTACTGGTTGAAATATCTCCCGAGTTGAGAAATACCATGCAAGAGTATGTTACGTCATTTAACAAATGGTCACTCACAGGTACTTTGACATCATGCATGTTGTATTCAGGGATGCACAAATTGTAATTTGGATTGTATATTAATTAAATTAATGGACTTTGATTGTGAAGAAATGCAGAAACCTTACACATATATACTTACATACTTTTTCTGTTTTAATCTCTGCATTAGGTTTTGAATATGCGGTTGAATCGGCGAAATCACTTGTGATAGCGTGTGCTTTAGCTGAAAAAGAAATATCGGTAGAAAAAGCCACATCACTTTCAAGACTAGAGGTTGAATTTCAGGTTAGTACGCTGAAGTTAGTTGGAAAGTTTGGTAATTGCCTACTAATTGGTGCAGCCGAGATTTAGAAAATTTAATAGTAAATATATACAGTAGCAAGTATTTTGTAATAAAAGTCATTTCTATCTCACAGTAAAACATCTACAGTATGTACTGGAATCACCCAATATATATACCGGTACATGAACTTGTGGTTATAGAGCTCAACAACTGCATGGCCTCTGTATGGCGGGCTTGAAATAACAGCTGATCACCAATCAATGATCGGCAAGAAATTGCTTATGATCGGCAGAAAAGCAGGGTTTCCAACCTGAAAAAGCAGGGAAAGTCATTACTGCCGATCACCATGATCGGGAACTTTGGGAACGTCATTTCAAGCCCTGGTAGCTCAGTTGGTTGGAGCACTGCACCAGAATCGCATGGTTCGATCCCTGCCTGATGGCCTATAGTTGCAACTGTTGGACTCAAAATTTCCATCTACAAAACCCTTCCTCCTGTGGTAACACTATAGGCTTGGTCCTTATTTGCTCGCAGTACAAATTGAAGACGTACTTATACAATTCTCATGTTATCTGTGTAGATCAAAAAATGGGGTAGTGTTGAGTGGGCACACGAGGTGGACTTGATGGACCTACGAAGTCGCCTGGCTGCCGCAACCTTATTCTTTCATCTGACAAGTGGAAGCACGCTGGATGGTTACAAAGAAGACTAAACACATCAGGTTTTTATATCGTTGTGTGTGAACACTGCTTGTTGTGTGGATTGTTGCAACATTTCTGAATTCAAAAATGTTGCAGTTGGAATATCATTCACAGAATGCCGTTGATGCAGATTGCGCGCGCTTAAAATTCGGAACATGAAAACATCGCCATTATACTGACTTTGATACATCCTGCACCAAGAAGGTCCCTGCCCCCCCCCCCACCTCGACAGCCCTGATGGTGCTAATCACTTAATATCATAAATCATAGTATGGATATAGTACAAATAATTGAAATATTATTTACATTGAAACTTTGAAGTTACTACACATAAACTGTTTTTCTTTTTAAAAAGATTAGATATATTTAAATACCTCTGTGTTAACAGAAAAGTGAAACTTTTCAGCATTATAATTTTAATCCTTATTGTATTTACATCTTAGAGACTTATATTATATACATTTACGTTATTTAGCATATAATATTTCACCATAGCTTGAACACATGCATCTGACCATAGCTGGGTCTAAGTCATTCCACCAATGTCATAGCTGTCAATCTCTTCTCTGAAGTGGTCAATGAGATTATTAATTTCTGCGACACGTTTACGATTTCTTTTTATTTCCTCAGTGTGGATATTTTCAATGAGTGACTGGATGTTTTGGTTTGCTCGGGTTACGATGTCGTCCTCCTGTTGAGATAAAACAAAGTCTGAGCTTGAGATTTATTCCTCGCGAGGTGAAAAATATCAAACACTATAGATATTTTCCTTAAGGCCTTGCAAGGTAAAACGCTCACGAAAACTATCAGTTGAATTAGCTTAGTTTGATTTCGTTCAAACCATCTTTTATGTTCGGGAAAAATTTTCGTCACACGATTCATCCCAGCTAGCTGGCTCGTCTGAACAGCCCCTAATATGATGATTCATCTAAAATTCTTGATCATACATCATACCTTGTTATCAATCTTTGACAATCTAGTTTCATGCGAGGAACTCACTGCCCCCATGACTGTGTCTTTGTCGACGAAAAGCTGCCAAAAAAATAATGATAATATGATACATGTATACAAATCAGAAATCAAACCTCAACTCCTCCTCGTACCCAGGGTGACCTCAACTACAGAGGTTCAGGGTGTGACCGTTGACCAAGTACATTAAAGGAAGCTACGGCAGCAAGCCACTAGTCGGTAGTCTTGCACCCCTCCCACCCCAAGTGAATCTATCCCTGGCAGCAACACACCCCCTACTACACCCCACTTACCATTCGGACATCATCGGGCAAGTCGTCTGCCAGTTCATTTTTCATTATTTTTTCCAACGTAATTACAGCAATGTCTTGTAGTTTTTCATTGTGAGTTTGCTCCACTTCTCGCATTTGAGTCATAGTGAGTTATGGTTAAGGCGTCACTTGTGAAATTGTTGATCAGAATTTTTTTCGGATCTACATTTTTGCAGAAATTTTCATTTTTATGTATGACAGCTAATTCTGGAAATTAGACTGATTACCTAAATTACTAAATACCCAATTATTGAAATGATTGACTACCTAATTAATCTACCAACTCGATACCTAAATCACAGTGAGTAGAAACGTTTAATAAAAAATATTCATCTAGCCTGCAGTAGGAAATTTATTTTTAATTCTGTTAGACTGTAACTACTATGATTACTTCAGGATTTATCTTGTATGCTTTGTCAGTCTACTCTTAGAAGTTAAAGACTTATTGTTTCACACGACAACACTTTAATTAAGACAGTCACAAACGACAGTTTTGTTATTTTTCCCTACTTACTGCAATCTTTTGCAGAAAAGTTTTAGCCCCAAACCTAGGTTCCCAAAAAGAAAAAAAAACATTTAATTTCCACCTCTGCTATCTGAATAAAATAAACTTTGTTTAGTTTAGGTTTCGTTACTTTCCTACTTCCCTCATGTAGTAACACTATGGCCCTCATTCCCAGAGCGGAGTTATTTAGAAGAACTAGATACATGCAACAGGCAATATAAAAGGATATTGTGCTCGTATTTGTTCCAGAAATCCAGCATACATATCTGCTAGGTTTCTTTCGAAGTCTTTGATCGTCTCCTCTAGCTGATCGACTAACTGTAGTTCCAGACCCATCAGAGTGTCCCATACTTTCATTATCTCGTCACTTAGTTCATTTGTTAGTCGTTCGATGATGAAGTTTTCATTCAGATTTGCAATTTCCTGCAGGACCTAGACAAGAAGCAACAATACAAAGTTGTATATGTAAGCCACTTTGCATAAGAGTGGAAGGATGAAGTCAGTGTGGTATTTTGAATAAAGTTCTCCCCACCCTTCCACCTACCAATCTTACCGACAGTATCCACTTACCTACCTGCCTGCCTATCAACCAACCTAAGTAGGTACTACAGGGAATTCAGACCAAGGTAACCTACCAACCAACCGAACGATAGGTAGGATCGATCCATCCATCTATCTACCTACCTACCCATGTACGTACCTAGGATCGATTGGTGCATCCACCCACTTACCTACCTACCCTCCCACCTACCTACCTGGCCATCCACCTACCTACCCATACCTACCACCCACCTACCTGCTCACCCATCCACCTACCTACCTAGGATTGATCGATGCCCACTTACTTACAGTACCTACCTACCCACCCACCCACCCACGCACCCACCCTCCAACCAACCCACCTGGTCACCCACCTACCTACCCATATCTACCTACCCACATACCTTCTTTTTATACTCGGAGTAGTCGTTAATACATTTCACTCCTTGATTTTTATTCTCCTCTCTCGCCTCTCTGATGCTGCCGAAAAATGAGTTGATCTCTTCCTCCCTCTTCTCGTGTTCTTTAAGACCTAAATTGAACATTTCTTGACACAAATTCATGAACGTCTCTTTATATCTGTATTTATGCAGTAAAGGAAATAATCACAATGCCTGCGATATGTTGGGATGCACGTCAGCGAGTAAACGTCCTCTTGTTTATGAGAGACAAGTTATCGCACACCATACTATGAGCCCAAACTTTTTGTAATGGCAAAACTTTTGCTGGCTGTTCACAGTTGACTAAAGGTTGATTTTAATACACTATCAAAGTTTCTGTGATCACAGTAGGAATTTTGCATAGGTAAATTCTAAGTTTTGAAGGATTTGTAAGAAATGTTTGAGGAAACTGACTTAACAGTAGACATTGAGTCAGTTCCCTCATTTCTTACAAATTCGTCAAAACGTATAATTTCCCAATGCAAAATTCCTACTGTGATCACAGAAACTTTGATAGTGTAAACCAGGGACACTTCACGATTGCAAAGGATACTCTTCTAAAATGTCTTCAACTCCTGGTAAAGCTGAAAGTTTGGATGATTCCGGGTCGTCGTGTATCATACTGTCAAACAACTTGCTGCCATCCATATCTTCGACATATGCCGACTGTTAAAATCAAAAGGTACACAATCATATATTTTGCTGAGATTATAGTATGATTGCATGATAGTGTAAGGGAGACAGTAAATGATCCCAGCTATAGACTAAATTTTGATCAAGGCAAGAAGAACAAAATCCATCACCACAGATAGAAAGAGCATGTTAAAATTAGTAAAATGGCAAAGTTTGGCCTGCGAAATTTGCAAATTTTGTATTAATTTGTATTACGCACGGGAAAATGTACCATTTTTCGGCCCAAATGTGGTGCATTTTCCCGCGCGTAATACAAATTAATACAAAATTTGCAAATTTCGCATGGCTATATTTTCTGCATTTTACAACATTTCGCGGCGAAACTTTGCAATTTTACTAATTTCAACATCTCTTTCTAGCTGTGGTGGTGGATTTTGTTCTTCTTGCCGAGATCAAAATTTAGTCCATAGCTTGAATCCTCTATTAAGAACAGCTAAAACAAGGTGGTGTGACTGTCAAATCCGTGCTTTCTAGTTTACCTTGTGAAGTTTGGTTTTCGTTTCTTCCTCCAGTTTTTCTTCAAGGACTTTCTGTGCCAACGTTTCATTATGAACGATTTCCTCAATTGCGTACCTATACTGTTCTAGCGCTGCGTCCCTACCCGGCGCGTCAATCAAGCGAAAATCAAGATAGACAAGATACGAGAGATGAGCGATCACATAGGGACGATAATTTTGATCTTGACAGAAAGGATTTCCACTTAAGTTCAGTGTCTTTAAACTTTTGAAATTTCGTAAATAGACAACCTAGAAGATATAGATAACTTATTCATTATATACTGTATTTGCACTAGTGAAGAATCGAAAGCTTTGCTATCAGAGGCAGATCTAGCCTCATCTGCAAGGAGGGGTGCAGGTTTTCCATGGGGTGGTGCACGAGGGAGCCTTACTGCCCACTCTCCTCTGCAGTCTGCAACGCTACTATCCCAACATTACCATTACTTGAGACGGCCCAATCTGCATGTTCGCCGTTCTGTTATGTTTTACATTATCTTTTGTTTATATGAAATATATCAGCTTTTTATCACGTATGCGTGACTGGACAGTTGGTATAGCACAGTACAGTAAATGTGCTTGTTCAAATACAGTATATTTGAAAATATGGTGTATAACAACCTCGACATGTTTACATATTTAAATATCATGTTTAACTAAAACTTTCTGAGTATTTTCTCGTGAGCTCACAAATCAATTAAAATCGTTTCAAGAAATCAACACAGGCTAACAGTAGAAGTTCCGCTAACCGGCGCTATTCAAAAAGGAGAAAATGTATGTTCAAGCTGATTTTGTAGGGTGGTGCTGGACTTCTCAAGAGGGTGACGGACACCATTAGCCCGACTTGATTTTGATTGGGGGACAACTGCCCCCGCCCAGTACGCCTTTTCATGCTCTTTTCCACAAAACAGAAAAGTCATATTGAAGTAAAACTATTTTACTTACATTTTCTAGACCTTTGATATTATTATTGCCAATTGACAGAACATGAAGATTGACCAGTGTGTCCATATTTTCTATTCTAGTTATTCTGTTGTTAAATAAGGTCAGGTCTCGAAGTTTTACTAGCGTATCAAGGCCTTCGATCACCTCGATGTTGTTAAATGATAAATCTGTCAGGTAGATAAACACAAAGTTTATGTGAGAATAGAAAATGTTTGATCTGCAATAATGAAGGCATTTGTACTTGTTTTAAAGTGACTATTTTGCGTGTACACTTGGCGTACCTATTTTTTCGAAAACAATATTTTTTCCACACTTGTCAATTTTAACCCATTGAGCTGCAATGCACTCAAAAGTGTGCTATTTTATTAATTTTACTTTGTCTAATGCCAGATGATTTTACTCGTCAAGGCCAGAGTTGTGCCCTGATGTGCCCTACTTTATTATTTTACTCTGTCTAACCCCAGACAATTTCACTTGTCAAGGGGAGATTGCTGGCACTGGACAGAGTAAATAACTAAATTTAGTGTAGTAGGGCACATCGCAGCTTTGTGGATTAACAAGAAACAAAGGTAGATAGCCTAGCTAACACTTTCCCCTTAATGAATAAATCTATCCAGCAGTACACAGTTAGATAAAATAGCACAGCAGGATGTATTTCTGCTTATGATATAATTAAGAAAGTGTCTGCAATGAACCATAGTAATTTGATTAATTTAAGTCTGAATTCAATTAGGGGATCGTGAATAAATTATGATGTACACCAGTGGCGTAGCCAGCCCGACAATTTGGTCATGCTATGCAAATTTCAAATCATCATTCATTTCTTTAGAAATTGATTGTTTTCACAGTTTATGAACACAAAAATATTTGCATAGCATGAGGCGTAAAAAAAAATACCTGTGGTTCCAGTTTCATATCATGAAAAATTAGGGTCGGTAGGTTGGAAAAAAGTTGTTTTTTTGAATATTTTTTTCATGGTTTTGCCGTTTTTTTTGCTGGGCGATTTGCAGTAGAGTCCCAACATCAATATTAAATAGAGGTGCGTATTTCCTATGGACGAATTGAGGCAATTTGTGAATTTGGTTCAATAATTATTGTGACAACAGACGCCATTTTGGCACGCTGTATGAGCAGCCCGCAACCACCTGGAGAAAATAGGGTCGCACGGTCAATCGCGTTGAAAAAATAATAGGTTCGGCAGGAAAAAAATAGGGTCGGTCGGGACAGGTATTTGTTTTCTTACGCCTGACCAAATTGTCGGGCTGGCTGCGCCACTGATGTACACCATGATATTTTTTAATTTGCTAATGATAGAAAACTTGAGGGTAAAATCATCAAATCTTTTTAATTCCATTATTACCAAGCCATTCAAGGTTTACAAGTTTTTCCAGTCCTTCAATCTTTTCAATGATGTTATTGTCCATTTGAAGTTTTGTCAGCGAAACGAAATTCCACATATTGTCTATCTTGAGAATATCTGAAAAATGCATTCTAAGGTTATGATGTTAATGGTTATTTGTGGTCATTTGAGGCATTTTGTAGTATTTTCACAGAGCACAAGTTGCAACTTTAATTAAGGCCCATTCACACGATACAACTAATCGTACACAATTGTCATTCTGGCATATGAAGACAACTTCTGATGCTACTATTTCTGTTCATCAGTTTATGGTGACACATTTATTCGAGTATATATGCCAGGATAAAAATCGGATATGACTGGCCGTATCATGAAATTTTGGCCTTTACCATACCCGAGTAATGCAAATATCTGATTGGTGCAATTCAGCATAAATATTACAGCATGCTTTTGATTGGTGTGTGTGTGTGTGTGTGTATGTTCAGTGATAAGCGATTACTCAGGTACAAAAAAATGATAATATTTTCAAAGGCTTAGTGAAGATATTTGCAGATTCAATCCCTGCTGAGGCATATTTATTTGTCATATCAAAACAAACAACAATAACACTTTACATTGGCATCACCTAAGTATTATATATATATACATGAACTTGTGGTTAGAGCTCGACAACTGGCCTCTGTAGCTCAGTTGGTTAGAGCGCTGCACCGTAGTTGCAAGGTCACATGTTCGATTACTGCCAGAGGACCTATAAGTCAGGGTTGGATATAAGAACATTTTTTCAAAAATAAAATGTTCTTATTTCTTATATTAATATAAGAACATTTTTTGCAATATAAGAACATTTTCAAAAACTTTGATGACGTCATATTATGACATCATCCAAAATCCTAAAATGACGATTCAACTTCAATTTTAGATGTTGCTGTAACGTCTTGGCTTTCAAAATTTTAAAAATAGTTATCAATGCTGTATTTATACGACTATTATCTGTATATCTTACTTTCAGGATGAATGTCAAATAGTTAAAATTTAGAACTTCGAAGTAGAATAATTAATGAGAATAATATAAGAAAATATAAGAACATTTTTGCCTCCCAAAAAAATATTCTTATATAATATAAGAACATATAAGAACAACTAATATAAGAACATTTGCCAACCCTGCTATAAGTGCATTTTTCTATTGGACATGTTTAGGAATGAAACCCTCTACCTTATTTTATGAGTAAATGCAATAATATAGGCATGCTCGTTTACCACAATACATGTAAATCTCGCACTGAAAACAAAGCAATCTCTTACTGCGATAATCCAATCTTAGTGCAAGGACTGTATCGAAATCAATTCCTTCTTGCTTTGCTATGCGACCGGCCTCCCCTTTCGGCCCCTGATCTTCCACAGCTTCTTTGAGCATCTGTTCGTCGATAACAGATGGCTCTATGGTGTCGTACAAGCGACTCATTGTGGAAAAAATTATTAAAAACTTAAAGTTTTCCCCAAAAGTTTAAAAATCCCACTTTTCATTGTTTACGATGCCTTGACAACAACAATATTGGACGAGAAGTGAGCCCGTAAACACGTGCGGTCACCTGTTACGTCATGTAATATTCACATAAGGCATTTTGTCTCAAATCATTGAACTGAGGTCAACGCATCTTATGTAAATGAGTTATCCGGGCAAAAGACTATGTTGCGATGCATGATGGGATGCCACGTGCCTACAAGCAAAGCAACTAATCATACGGTGATCGCTAGATAGTATACTTCAAAATAAGGTTTCCGTTTTCAGTATAACGTAGAAAAAACTATCCTAACGCAAAACTAAACCCTAATACTAACCCTAATCTAAACCCTAACCCTAACTTACTTTAAAAATTTTTAAAAATTGATATAAAAACGGAAACCTTATTTTGGAGTATACTATCTAGCAATTGCCCTAATCATACCCCCCTCCCCCCGCCCAAAGGAATGAAGGAGGGGATGTCACTCTGGACCATGATTACGTGAAACATATTTTTGCAGTCAAATTACGCTAAAATGACTGATTGTTCCCGCAATTTTTTCTGATCTCAATCTCATGCTGAACAATACCCTGGATTCCAGAGCCTTCAGTAAATAATAAATTGAAACGTCGTGAAGGCTCTGGTTCAACGGGAGGATTCTTTGATTAAACTGCGCTAATCACAAAACAGAATTAGTGGTTTTAGTACAGTATCTAATCCAGAGCCTTCACGACGTTTCAATTTATTATTTACTGAAGGCTCTGGAATCCAGGGGAGCTGAACAATCGACTTGGTGAGGAATATTTTGTTTAGGGATTTTTGAAGGAATTGTATGTTTTAAGGATTTCTTTAAGGAATTTGAGAAATTCCGGAATCGATCTTAATCATTAAGTTGATTTATGTTCTTTATTTGAGAATTTTGAGGCGAAATTCGCAAAATTTTCCCAGTTTGTCTGAGATTAATATCATAGTGCGGTAAATTTTGGGACTTTTCAACCTGTTGTGTGGTTAAATCATGAAGCTAAAAATAGTCACTACGGCCAACAATGATCGCGGAAAATGACTGCATAAAGTGAATTTTTGGAAAGCCACGAAAGTTCACGGCTTTTGCCTTGGGCAAGGAATTCTCAAATTTAGTCATGAAATTCGCCATTAACAGTCACAAGCCTGCGAGCTGGTTTAAGAATTTGTTTCTGTACGTTGGCTGTCCGTAGACTTTGTCGAAGGTTAGTGTGTAATACTCTTAATTGTATTTATATTCACGTCTAGTTGAATAGATATACTTGTATTCGTATTTTGCATAACCCGAGTGATTTAATTTCGCGCAAATTATTGATAATTTCGCGCAGTTTCGACACCGCGCATCTTTTCGTTAAAATGCGCAATAAAGATGAAACATGCTGGACCTTCAGAAAGAACTGTTCAGAATTGATAAAGCTATTAAGTACTAGATAAAGTTAGTTCGTTAATTTAAAAAGTTAAACATTAGAATCTTAATTGAAGCTCATCGGAAACGATGATATATATATATATATATATATATATATATATATATATATATACACAGGGTGTATCAAAATAAACGCAATTCATCTTTTGTGCTTAATAACTTTCGAAATACTATTTCTAGTCAAACGCTTTTTGGCTTACTTCAAAGCCTGCTCTTTTCTCTTTCAAACAAACTATTATCCTTGTCTCCAATGCTAGTAATAATTGCACAGGAAAAGATT